ATTGTCTTAATCGTATTAAAATCAGAGTCTTGTTGTCCATGTAAATGTACTGATTGTAATACTATAGTAAAAATTCAATTGTAGAGCTCTGTAATTAAAAATTAATGGTGGAAGTCAATGGAAACCTATGACTAGTAAAAATTCATTTGTAGAGCTCTCTAATTGGAATTGTTAAGAATTGAATTAGAGAAATTGGAATTCTTACTAGTCATAACTGAATTAGAGGGCTCTCTAATCATTATTATTATTAGTAAGAATTGCATTAGAGAGCTCTCTGACTGAATTGTTACTAGTAAAAATGCAATTATGATGAGTAAAGCTGGGATTATTTTAAGATAAAAGGACTTGCCATAAGTGATCATTTATTTTTGGCGTGGGCATTTAAATTGAATGTGCAGTGCTTCCGGTGTCCTCCGCTTCCAGTTATGTTAGCGGTACAAAAACAGTCCCTTACGTTGCTTGATATTGCAAACTGGTTGTCATAAGTTTAGTTTATTATCGTAATAATAAACACTGATTTGAAGTGCAAATAGTTTTGACGTTCAATGCACTATTTAATGTGCTAGTTATTTCCCTAGAGCGGCTAATGAATCTAAAGTCTCGAATATTACTGTGTGGATATACCGTGATAAGATGTAGGTATGTAGCTCCTCCATATGTATTTAGTGCGCGCGCATGCGCCGCGGATGTGTGCTCAGCGGTCAACACCTCACAACTCTTAGGCTTTTACAATGCTCCACTGTAACGTTATACCAATGATGGAAGGACGTTTGTGTTGTAGTAAATAGTTGGACTTGGCGAGCATGCAGATAGTTTAGTTATGTCTTAAATGTAAACTGGTAGTACAAAAAATGTGAATATATCAGGTAACTAGTGTAATCAGACATATATCAGATCTTTTTTTTTTACTCAGCGTTGCTGAATTTCTTGTACGTCTCTCAAGGCTTTTACAATGCTCCACTGTAACGTTATACCAATGATGGAAGGACGTTTGTGTTGTACGTTAAGCAATTGTTGAACAAAGGTTTAACAAAACTCATTTGCTTTAAACGTTCAATAAGAAATTTCACAAACCATCTTTTACTCAGACAAATCAGTGTGCTTGCATCATATAATTTTGCTTAATCCAATTTTAAGCACTGAACTTTTAATCAATATAATTTGAAGTACCAATAAGCCTTGTTACTTACAGTTGTGCTCAAAATTATTAATACCCTTGATAAATATGATCAAAGAAGGCTGTGAAAATTAATCCGCATTGTTTATCCACTTGATCTTTCATTAAATATAAATTGTAACGATTGGAACTTTAAACGGGACTCGGTTCAATGGTCAGATGAAACAAACAAACAAAAAAAGCTTTTTAGCGGCAAACACTCAAGATGGATTTGATGCACACGGGGATAAAAAAGTAAGGGCTTATTTTTCTGCCGGAGATCCTGAATATATTGTTTAGGTAGATGGCATAATGGATTCTATAAAATACCAATGGATAAAAAATTTAAAAACTGACTGTCCATGCTAGAAATCTCATAATGGGCCATGGTTGGTTCTTCCAAAAGGACAATGATCCACAAACAAACATCAAAATCAAAACAAAAATGGGTCACTGAGAACAAAACCAAGCTTCTGCTCTGGCCAACCTAGTTCCCTGAGCTGAACCCTATAGAAAACGAGTGTGTTGAACTGAAGAGGAGAAGCATCAACATGCAGCTGGAGATCTGAAGGGTCTGGACTCTGGAGAGATTCTGTATGAAGGAATGGTCTCTGATCTCCTGTCAGATGTTCTCTAAACTCTTCAGGCATTATAGGTGAAGACTCAGAGCTGTTCTCTTGGCAAAAGGAGGTTGTAAAAAGTATTGGATAAAAGGGTATGATTAACTGTGACCAATGTGTATTCGAGAAAACCATTTATTTCATAATGAGAGTTCTCTCCCATTTTAAATTCTTATTGTCCAATGAAAGGTTAGATTTTAGCACATTTTTAAAATAAGATATCTAAAGGATTGATGATACAGATTAATTTTCACAGCCTTCTTTGATAATATTTACCACAACTGTATGAATAATTTTGAACACAACTGTATACTGTAGGTCACTGTTTGAGCTTGTCTTGGCCAATGAATGCCTGGAGCTCACAGATCCAAAGTTGCTTGGATGGTTCCTATGTTTAACAGCAGAGGACAGGACCATAATTAAAAGTATGGGCATATAAATTATGGCATAATGGATTCTATAAAATACCAATGGATAAAAAATTTAAAAACTGACTGTCCATGCTAGAAATCTCATAATGGGCCATGGTTGGTTCTTCCAAAAGGACAATGATCCACAAACAAACATCAAAATCAAAACAAAAATGGGTCACTGAGAACAAAACCAAGCTTCTGCTCTGGCCAACCTAGTTCCCTGAGCTGAACCCTATAGAAAACGAGTGTGTTGAACTGAAGAGGAGAAGCATCAACATGCAGCTGGAGATCTGAAGGGTCTGGACTCTGGAGAGATTCTGTATGAAGGAATGGTCTCTGATCTCCTGTCAGATGTTCTCTAAACTCTTCAGGCATTATAGGTGAAGACTCAGAGCTGTTCTCTTGGCAAAAGGAGGTTGTAAAAAGTATTGGATAAAAGGGTATGATTAACTGTGACCAATGTGTATTCGAGAAAACCATTTATTTCATAATGAGAGTTCTCTCCCATTTTAAATTCTTATTCTCCAATGAAAGGTTAGATTTTAGCACATTTTTAAAATAAGATATCTAAAGGATTGATGATACAGATTAATTTTCACAGCCTTCTTTGATAATATTTACCACAACTGTATGAATAATTTTGAACACAACTGTATACTGTAGGTCACTGTTTGAGCTTGTCTTGGCCAATGAATGCCTGGAGCTCACAGATCCAAAGTTGCTTGGATGGTTCCTATGTTTAACAGCAGAGGACAGGACCATAATTAAAAGTATGGGCATATAAATTATAAAATGACCTTCAATATTTAAAAATGTATGGGCAGTAAGCAAAATGTGGGTCTTGAGGGAAATTGTGCTTTCTCATCCACAGAAGAGAGAGAGCTTCTGCCATTTCTATGTAAACACCCTGCACTTCAAGTAGACAGACAGCATGTTTGTGTGAAATGTGAGTTTAGTTGGTAAAACATTACTAAGCACATTACGATATTCATTTTGTCAGCAAGCGTTCTGTATACCGTGTAAATATTTTTTATAATTGAGCAAAAACCAGAGGAAATTGCATTTCCGCTCCATCAACCATGTCATCAAAGAAGTAAGTTTTTCATTTATATATATATATTTTTTTTTTTTAATAAGTTTTTCAAGTTTTAAATGTGCTATTTGGTCTTTAGCCTTTATGATTTTAGTTACCATTCTGTTTTATCAACATGCTTTATTAATGATACATTTTAGAAATGGTGCTAAGGATGCACTGATATTAAAGTCGGCATGAAATGAAAATTCATACATTATTTCTGTTGGCCTGGTAAAATTTAAATGTCATAACTGGTGTAACGTCTCTCTGTTGACTTCTCAAATCATTTAGTCTCATTAAACTCGCTGCTCACAATTGAGTAAGCAAGCTCACATTCAGATCTCCCTCCATTCAATCAATAACCAATTGATGGAACCAAGTTCCATCTTACATTTTGTCTTTTTTGATAATCCATTTCACTCAGATGGAAGAAAAGATCTGTCGCTATTTCTTCTTTATTGCAACTTTGAAATTTTGCCTAATATTGATAAGACAATAATTATTTTCATGTTATGGCTGAAAGCCAATAATGGCCAGTATTAAAGTTCTGTATTTTGTCAAAATAAATTAACAGTTGGTCCTTAAAAACTCATTTTAAATGTTACAAGTGAATTTAGGCATCACAACATTACAATGTACAGTATAATCATCTTTTGCGATTTGCTCAAGATCACATTTATCAGTGTTATTTAATTAATGTTTTTAAAGATAAACTTAAAGTGAGTGATAAATGATGACAAAGGGAATATAAATGCAAAAATAGTGGAAATGAGCAACACCATTTTTGACTAATATAGAAGAGTTCTATTCATTGGCTGTTGATTGGACTTTGAGATGTGGCCGTTGCTCTCAAAAGTGGAGGCAGAAATATATATGTGTGTGTGTTTTAAAGGTCAAGGTACCCATCGTTTTATGGTGCATCCCATTGTCAAAATTGTGGGACTAGTTGTCCATTTGGTTCCAAGAAGTGCAGATGTTGTGGCTTTCACATTGAGATTTCAGAAGACAAAGTCTATGTGTCGGGGCTGTGAAAATTAATCCGCATTGTTTATCCACTTGATCTTTCATTAAATATAAATTGTAACGATTGGAACTTTAAACGGGACTCGGTTCAATGGTCAGATGAAACAAACAAACAAAAAAAGCTTTTTAGCGGCAAACACTCAAGATGGATTTGATGCACACGGGGATAAAAAAGTAAGGGCTTATTTTTCTGCCGGAGATCCTGAATATATTGTTTAGGTAGATGGCATAATGGATTCTATAAAATACCAATGGATAAAAAATTTAAAAACTGACTGTCCATGCTAGAAATCTCATAATGGGCCATGGTTGGTTCTTCCAAAAGGACAATGATCCACAAACAAACATCAAAATCAAAACAAAAATGGGTCACTGAGAACAAAACCAAGCTTCTGCTCTGGCCAACCTAGTTCCCTGAGCTGAACCCTATAGAAAACGAGTGTGTTGAACTGAAGAGGAGAAGCATCAACATGCAGCTGGAGATCTGAAGGGTCTGGACTCTGGAGAGATTCTGTATGAAGGAATGGTCTCTGATCTCCTGTCAGATGTTCTCTAAACTCTTCAGGCATTATAGGTGAAGACTCAGAGCTGTTCTCTTGGCAAAAGGAGGTTGTAAAAAGTATTGGATAAAAGGGTATGATTAACTGTGACCAATGTGTATTCGAGAAAACCATTTATTTCATAATGAGAGTTCTCTCCCATTTTAAATTCTTATTGTCCAACTGTTCGAGCTTGTCTTGGCCAATGAATATCTGGAGCTCACAGATCCAAAGTTGCTCGGATGGTTCCTATGTTTAACAGCAGAGGACAGGACCATAATTAAAAGTATGGGCATATAAATTATAAAATGACCTTCAATATTTAAAAATGTATGGGCAGTAAGCAAAATGTGGGTCTTGAGGGAAATTGTGCTTTCTCATCCACAGAAGAGAGAGAGCTTCTGCCATTTCTATGTAAACACCCTGCACTTCAAGTAGACAGACAGCATGTTTGTGTGAAATGTGAGTTTAGTTGGTAAAACATTACTAAGCACATTACGATATTCATTTTGTCAGCAAGCGTTCTGTATACCGTGTAAATATTTTTTATAATTGAGCAAAAACCAGAGGAAATTGCATTTCCGCTCCATCAACCATGTCATCAAAGAAGTAAGTTTTTCATTTATATATATATATATATATTTTTTTTAATAAGTTTTTCAAGTTTTAAATGTGCTATTTGGTCTTTAGCCTTTATGATTTTAGTTACCATTCTGTTTTATCAACATGCTTTATTAATGATACATTTTAGAAATGGTGCTAAGGATGCACTGATATTAAAGTCGGCATGAAATGAAAATTCATACATTATTTCTGTTGGCCTGGTAAAATTTAAATGTCATAACTGGTGTAACGTCTCTCTGTTGACTTCTCAAATCATTTAGTCTCATTAAACTCGCTGCTCACAATTGAGTAAGCAAGCTCACATTCAGATCTCCCTCCATTCAATCAATAACCAATTGATGGAACCAAGTTCCATCTTACATTTTGTCTTTTTTGATAATCCATTTCACTCAGATGGAAGAAAAGATCTGTCGCTATTTCTTCTTTATTGCAACTTTGAAATTTTGCCTAATATTGATAAGACAATAATTATTTTCATGTTATGGCTGAAAGCCAATAATGGCCAGTATTAAAGTTCTGTATTTTGTCAAAATAAATTAACAGTTGGTCCTTAAAAACTCATTTTAAATGTTACAAGTGAATTTAGGCATCACAACATTACAATGTACAGTATAATCATCTTTTGCGATTTGCTCAAGATCACATTTATCAGTGTTATTTAATTAATGTTTTTAAAGATAAACTTAAAGTGAGTGATAAATGATGACAAAGGGAATATAAATGCAAAAATAGTGGAAATGAGCAACACCATTTTTGACTAATATAGAAGAGTTCTATTCATTGGCTGTTGATTGGACTTTGAGATGTGGCCGTTGCTCTCAAAAGTGGAGGCAGAAATATATATGTGTGTGTGTTTTAAAGGTCAAGGTACCCATCGTTTTATGGTGCATCCCATTGTCAAAATTGTGGGACTAGTTGTCCATTTGGTTCCAAGAAGTGCAGATGTTGTGGCTTTCACATTGAGATTTCAGAAGACAAAGTCTATGTGTCGGGTGAGATGACAAGTTTGAGTCCTGCCATAGACTTTTGCAACATCACTAGCAGCTAGAGTACTGATTATTGCTTTCTTGTTTAGAGAAGGAGAAACAACTTGAGATGCTACCAAACAGTGTGAAAGAAGAGCTAAATGTCTTAACTGCCAAAAATGACATCAGTTTAGGTTGCATGCAGAGCACCCTTAATACTCAGAAAACTAGATGCACACAGAGCTATGATTATGGAGGCCCTGCTGCGCATCATTCTTCATACAGTGAAGGAATGTGTCCCCATGCCCAGTGCTTGTCTCAGCTGTGGGAGGAAGTAGAGAACAGGAAGGACACCAAACACTTTAAGGACACAGCAGCCCAGGCAAGCTTCTCCCTCGATATGGAGCTGGATATACAGAGTCAAGTTCATAGGAATGACTGTACCCAAAATTACCAAGACCAATCTTATGTACAAATGGAAGAAGCAGATTTTCCAAAACTGGATCAGGAAGCGATGCCAGAATACTACAGTTTCAGTAACACCAGCTTAGACCATACCACGTGGAGCGATGGCACCCAGAGTACGGAGGCAGGCTACAATGATTCAGTCATGGCCACCAAAGGCAGTTCAGAAATATCAGATGAACCATCAAATGCCACCATGGCCACTGCTGCAAACTCTACTGATTGTTTCTCTTGGCTTAGCAATTCTTTCGAGCTGGATAATGAGTCAGGAGACTGTCAAGAAGACCTGAGAAAGAAGCATGACTCAATATATGAGCAACAGATTGTGGAGATCAATGTGGGAACTCCACTGAAATCCAAATGTGGTGCTTCAGATTTTGTGGACCAAATAATAGATGCCTGTGGTGATTTCAGAACTTGTTTCACATCTACATGTGCGACAGAGGTTGATCAGATTTTCCAAATGAAAAATGCTACCACTGACATGGACTTGCTAGCTGTCAGCCATGAAAAAGATACACAGACTGTGCAAATAACCACATCTGAAAAGAACACCATTACTGAAGTCTGCATGTCTGATTTAGATGTCCTCGCTGAGGTATCATATTTATTTCCTAACTGGGATTGTTGGAGTAGTATTTTATTTTTTATTTTTTTCAAATGAGCTGTGTGTAGCTTACTGGGATACTTTACTCCTAGGAATTCATAAAGCTAAAAGAGACAACAAGTGAGCTGAAACAACTGAAGAGCAGAAAGGCAAGGTAATGTGCTTAAAGTGTGTACCAAAAATGAAAATTGTCATTTACTCACTCTCATGTCGTTCCAAACCCATAAGATTTTCGTTCATCTTCTAAACACAAACCAAGATTGAAAGTGCATTCCACCAAAACTTTGACACTTCAAAAATCAAAATAAATTGAGCAGTTTAAACCAATTCTGACAAGATGCAATCACTTTAAATGATGAACAGATTTAATTTAGGTTTTTTATTGCTCTGATCGCTCACATACTGCACTTGGATCACTCATTAAAAGGATAGTTCACCCAAAAATGAAAATTTTATATTTATCTGCTTACCCCCAGGGCATCCAAGATGTGTAGGTGACTTTGTTTCTTCAGTAGAACACAAACTGAGATTTTTAACTCCAGCCGTTGCAGTCTATCAGTCGTATAATGCATGGCAATGGTAACTAAATCTATGAGAGTAAAAAAACCATGCACAGACAAATCCAAATTAAACCCTGCGGCTCGTGACGACACATTGATGTCCTAAGACACGAAACGATCGGTTTGTGCGAAAAACCGAACAGTATTTATATAATATTTTACCTCTAATACACCACTATGTCCAACTGCTTTGCGTAGTTTACGTTAATAGGTGTGTTGATATCCAGCCGAAGAGCAATCAATCATAACTTCAGGCGAGTAGGCTCATAAGTTGGGAATACGTGGAAAGTCACCACTCCTGAATGAGTTCGCCCGAGAAAAAGTAATCTTTTAGTTTTAAGTCGGTTTGAACAATCCGGATAAGCGCAAGTAAGTACCATTTTGGTTAGCCGTTGTACCTACAATGTTTGTGCACTGTGTAAACAATGAGTGACGTATACGCGTGAGAGATCACTTCCGGCACTTGTGTAAACTACGCCAGAGCGCGTACACACCTCACGCATCCGGATGCCGTGTGCACGCTCAAAGCAGTTGGACATAGTGGTGTATTAGAGGTAAAATTTTAACACTTCAAAAATCAAAATAAATTGAGCAGTTTAAACCAATTCTGACAATATGCAATCACTTTAAATGATGAACAGATTTAATTTAGATTTTTTATTGCTCTGATCGCGCACATACTGCACTTGGATCACTCATTAAAGGGATAGTTCACCCAAAAATTTTATATTTATCTGCTTACCCCCAGGGCATCCAAGATGTGTAGGTGACTTTGTTTCTTCAGTAGAACACATTTCATTTTTGGGTGAACTATCCCTTTAAATATAACAGTTGAGCTTCCGTTTCATGCTTGACACATAAGAACAAACCTCATTGGTTGTCGCACATCAAGCAAGCACTTCTGATTTTCCATTTACCGTTTTTTTATGTGCTTTATGTATGTGTGTTTGGTGTTTAATTATTTTGATTTTACTTTATTTTTGTATTCAAAAGTAGCAATTCATATTTCTCAGTGTCATTTTTCAAGTGTAAAATGCCCAAATTAATGTGGATAATGTTACTTGTTTTTTACATTAATTAGAAGTTATAGAGATTGCTGTATAGGATTTCCATTTGTACATAAGGTACTGGAAATGAATAAATTAGGACAATTATAATTTTAACTGTAAAAATATCTTCAGTAAAATATTAAACATCCTTAGGATTTCACTTTCTGAGACATCGAGTGCCCCTTGAGTAAGACTAATTTGTATTACAGTTATTAGCTTTGTGAAACCATACTTCAGTCTTCATCAGTTCTCTGCATCAAATAATTTGTTGTGGTTTCACTGTAGCAATGTGTTTTAAAATATCTAGAAGGATCATGTCAAGTTTCATGTTATGTTCTTCTCAGCCCTAGTCCTGGTGGTGAGCACTGCAGGAGAGATTGTGAGTGTGACTGTGTCCAACAGCTGAGAAGAGCAGAAATGCGTCTTCTCGCTCTTCAGTTTGTCATGTGTCAGCAGCACTGCTGGAGACACTACTTCACCTCCCCACTGGGTGAAAATGCTCTTTGGGGGTAAGAGATGGCTCACAGAAAAACGTGTATTATGAATTATTATGTATTAAATTATTTTCTATTAAGATATTCTATCCTAACCTTTGAGGTCAGCTATTTTCTTATGTCCCTTAGGACTGAGGGCCTGCCAGAAAGCATAGCAGAAACACTGAAAACACTACAGAAAGATTACCATGAGATGAGGAAACAGATTCTAGCAGGCACTCCTCTGGATAACCTCAAGCCCCTGTCAGTAGACTCTGAAAAGATAACTACAAGGGCAAACTACAGCCCAGCACTGGTATGACAACATTTAGAATTGTTCAAAATTTAGAAATGTATCATATCTGATATATATATATATATATATATATATATATATATATATTGTAGGTAATGAAGTGTTATTTCAGGTGTTTGAGGCCCATTTTGACTCGTTTGACCTTCCAGGAAGGTAGGTGGCCACAATATTTCAAATAAATATCCTTGAAAGTAACCTTTCCACAGAAGTCGTAAATCTTGCTTTCCCTGATATGAGTTATTGTTTGAGATGTCAAAGAAAGCATAATTCCACTGGGACGCTTGAACATTGTGCTGCCACATTGCACTTTACAGCCAGGACGCTAGAGGGTGAAAGTATGTAGACAGTGTTAGTGGTTCAGTCAATACTTTTCTTTATTTACAAATCAAAACCTCCTGGAAATATCTAATAATAATAGTAATGTTAACATTTATAACAAAAAAATTCATTAATTTCAATAAGTGCTGTTCTTTTGAACTTTCTCTTCAAAAAATGCTGAAACAATTGTTTGCACACAAATATTTAGTAGAACAACTTTTTTCAACATTGATAAGAAATGCTTGTTGAGCACCAAATCAGCATATTAGAAAGATTTCTGAAAGATTGTGTGACAATGAAACCTGAAGTAATGATGCTGAAAATTCAGCTTTGACATCACAGGAATAAATTACATTTTAAAATATATTCAAATAGAAAACAAAATTACTGTTTTATATATATATATATATATAGAATAATGATGTGTATGGCTTTGTACATGTTCAGAAGTTCAAAGTATTCATATCGTTATGTATAGTACTATTGCAAGTGGCCACAGAGTGCATGAAGAAAGTGAAGAGATAAGAGCACCAAGCACTGAAGTTTGTCAGGACACTGAAGATGCTCTGGTAGTTCATTCACATGCGGTTTATTTATTTGATTAGATTGTGATGAATCTATAATTGTACCTAAAATATGAATTTGTTACATTTAGAATAGTCAGTATTTTTCCTCTCTGAATAGGATGAAGCAAAAGGTGACAAGCGAGATAAAGCTCTGGTCTTTTTACACAAGCAGCCGGGAGCTTCCGCTGAGAAGAACCCTGGTATGAATCTCAAATCAAAGAAAGAAAGAAATGAGAATCATTTTTCAACTGTTTTAAATGCATACTATGGTAGGTGTCATCAAGGATCCAAATAGCAGCGAGGCTTGGTTTGATGCAGAAGAGGAACTTGGGTCTCCAAATCAGGATGGAAAGATGGAGAAACTGAATGAAAGGAGGGAAAGTATGGACTGCAAAATATGAAAGTGCCATTATATAACTGCTGTTTGAAAATGGTTGTAAGACTGAAATACTGTTCTGGAACAAAGCGCCTCATTGCTGTTGGCTGATTGAATTAATGACTCTAATCTTTGCTACTCTTTCACAGGGACTGATGAAGATGAATCAAACCAAAGTACCCTCTTGTGCATTACAGGCTTGCCGTGCAATATGACTGAGGTAGGGTGCATGCAAACTTTTCAGTGAAGTTACTTATGGCCTCTAGGGGGCAGCAGCCACCACTAAATGTTCTATTTTCTCTAGCGTGAATTGCTGCTTTGGTTTGAGAAGTACAATGCCACAAATGTCTGCATCTCCCCTTTCAGCAACAGTATAAGGTAAGCATACTCTTAACGTGCTAAATTTATCCCATGTATGCCCAAATGCTAAGATTAACTACTGGTTAATCAACACCATCACTTTAGGTTTTTGGAGTTTGTTTTCAAGTGAAATGGTATTGCATTTTACTTTCCCTAGACACACTAATTATCAGAATCTCAGTAAATGGCAAACCTTTAAAGTTTGTGTAAATAAACATGAACTAAAACAGTTTCATAAGGTTTCTAGCGGGACACCTGTGTACATTTCTTGCTGAACTAGAAGGATTACTCGTTTCGCCTAATCTCATTGTACCTGTATAACAACAGTCAAGAGTTTACAGCTCCACACCCAAACTGTGATGGTTACAGTTGTTAAACTGGCTCTAGTAGCATGTTTTAAATCACAGTGTTTGCTTTTTTTATATTAATCTTGATAGACCTTGTAGTAATGCTGAATGCAGTAGTTCCAGGCTTTAAAGCATAATTAGAGATTATCATTAATGAACTTCAATCTTGTCTGTGCTTTTGTAGGGCAGCTACTGTCTATCTCAAGAGCCCCAGCGATGCCAAGGCAGCAGTTAAAGATCTAAATGGGTGCTCCATTCAAGGCCACACTGTCCAGGTGGTGCACCTCTGTGGGCCTGGCTCAGCTGATCCTAACCTGATCAGTGATCAGTCCCTCAGCACCTCAGAAACCCATAAAGCTGAAACTGCAGGGACTGGTGGACTGGGAACTAAGGGTGTAACCTACAGTTCATCACATGGAGTAAGTATGTGGCAGGCTTTTTAGAAAGCTTATGCCCAAAATTAGTTTGTATTCTGTCATTGGTACTTGTACTGAAATGCAATTAATAATGACTAATATATATATTATACTATTGGCTAATATAATTATAGTAACTAATTAACTAATATATTACTATTATTATTATATTTTAAATTGTATATATTTTTTATAAATTAGTTTAAATTATTGCTAATATCAGACCATTTTTTATTTTCTGTTCCAAACTCTTAAGATGTCATTATGTTTTTGACTTAGGGGCCACGCTGTAGTGTGGACAGGTTAACCAATGTCTGCGACTCGCCCACAGCCTCTGGCACCTGTGTGCCGCAGCACTACGCCACCATGGGAAGCTTTGACACAATCATGGCCCGGCTGTCGGCGTGCCACCCAAATGTAGGCCGCCAGAGGATCGTAGATGCCCTGCTGGAACTGTGGGCCAAGCATCAGGGATTCCTCAGTGGGATTCCTTTGAGATCTATAGTGGATATGACCTCTGAGCTTCTCACACAGGCCTCTACCCCGTCATGTGTTTGAATTTGTACTGTTTTAAGCAGCGGTAAAGGCCTTGTAAATAGTTCCCTGACCAGTATGACTGGATTTCAGTTGTCAGTTCAGTTTTTGCAACTAACTTTTATGTTATATACAACCATTTCGTTGTAATTCTTTAATCAGAGCATTTCCTTCTCCAGGAGTAATTTTTTTAATTCATTTCAGGTTTTCATCTCTGCTGTTATCAGTTATGCTGTGCATATAGAAGTTTCCTTGTGTTTCCTGAATAAAACCGTTTTTTAAAAAGTGGGTACCTAATAGGTTCTCTGCAGTTCTTTCTGTGGAACAGGTGGGGATGTAATTAGTGATGGTCACATGACTGCTGACTGCGCTGGATGAAATTTCCAAGCCAGATCTTAAAGGATTTAGATGTTTAATGCACTACTGACATATTCAAACGAGTTTAAGAAGAAACAGCGTGCAACAAAATATTTTTTCTTGTGTAATTTGACAGTTTAATGTGAGATACTGATTTACATTTTAGAGCAAAATGTGATTGCTCAGTCCATAACAAAACACCTGCGTAGGTTACTATGGTCAACTAATTAAAGGGTTAAAGGTCCTTTTAAACTGCTTCGTCCTAATCTGGGTTATTTTTTCCTTCATATTCTGACTAGCCCCGCCCTTCGCCTGATTGCTATTTTCTTTGATTGGTAAAGATATTTGAATGACCTGTTTACTGTCCAATCAGTGCATGTTTGGATGTCGCCCTACTAGCCAATCACAGCGTAGGGGGCGTGACTTGTTTTTTTTTTGGGGGGGGGGGGCCCCTCGCCCCTTTCCCCAAATGCTAAGATTAACTACTGGTTAATCAACACCATCACTTTAGGTTTTTGGAGTTTGTTTTCAAGTGAAATGGTATTGCATTTTACTTTCCCTAGACACACTAATTATCAGAATCTCAGTAAATGGCAAACCTTTAAAGTTTGTGTAAATAAACATGAACTAAAACAGTTTCATAAGGTTTCTAGCGGGACACCTGTGTACATTTCTTGCTGAACTAGAAGGATTACTCGTTTCGCCTAATCTCATTGTACCTGTATAACAACAGTCAAGAGTTTACAGCTCCACACCCAAACTGTGATGGTTACAGTTGTTAAACTGGCAGTAGTAGCATGTTTTAAATCACAGTGTTTGCTTTTTTTATATTAATCTTGATATACCTTGTAGTAATGCTGAATGCAGTAGTTCCAGGCTTTAAAGCATAATTAGAGATTATCATTAATGAACTTCAATCTTGTCTGTGCTTTTGTAGGGCAGCTACTGTCTATCTCAAGAGCCCCAGCGATGCCAAGGCAGCAGTTAAAGATCTAAATGGGTGCTCCATTCAAGGCCACACTGTCCAGGTGGTGCACCTCTGTGGGCCTGGCTCAGCTGATCCTAACCTGATCAGTGATCAGTCCCTCAGCACCTCAGAAACCCATAAAGCTGAAACTGCAGGGACTGGTGGACTGGGAACTAAGGGTGTAACCTACAGTTCATCACATGGAGTAAGTATGAAGTGGCAGGCTTTTTAGAAAGCTTATGCCCAAAATTTGTTTGTATTCTGTCATTGGTACTTGTACTGAAATGCAATTAATAATGACTAATATATATATTATACTATTGGCTAATATAATTATAGTAACTAATTAACTAATATATTACTATTATTATTATATTTTAAATTGTATATATTTTTTATAAATTAGTTTAAATTATTGCTAATATCAGACCATTTTTTATTTTCTGTTCCAAACTCTTAAGATGTCATTATGTTTTTGACTTAGGGGCCACGCTGTAGTGTGGACAGGTTAACCAATGTCTGCGACTCGCCCACAGCCTCTGGCACCTGTGTGCCGCAGCACTACGCCACCATGGGAAGCTTTGACACAATCATGGCCCGGCTGTCGGCGTGCCACCCAAATGTAGGCCGCCAGAGGATCGTAGATGCCCTGCTGGAACTGTGGGCCAAGCATCAGGGATTCCTCAGTGGGATTCCTTTGAGATCTATAGTGGATATGACCTCTGAGCTTCTCACACAGGCCTCTACCCCGTCATGTGTTTGAATTTGTACTGTTTTAAGCAGCGGTAAAGGCCTTGTAAATAGTTCCCTGACCAGTATGACTGGATTTCAGTTGTCAGTTCAGTTTTTGCAACTAACTTTTATGTTATATACAACCATTTCGTTGTAATTCTTTAATCAGAGCATTTCCTTCTCCAGGAGTAATTTTTTTAATTCATTTCAGGTTTTCATCTCTGCTGTTATCAGTTAGGATAAGTTTCCTTGTGTTTCCTGAATAAAACCGTTTTTTAAAAAGTGGGTACCTAATAGGTTCTCTGCAGTTCTTTCTGTGGAACAGGTGGGGATGTAATTAGTGATGGTCACATGACTGCTGACTGCGCTGGATGAAATTTCCAAGCCAGATCTTAAAGGATTTAGATGTTTAATGCACTACTGACATATTCAAACGAGTTTAAGAAGAAACAGCGTGCAACAAAATATTTTTTCTTGTGTAATTTGACAGTTTAATGTGAGATACTGATTTACATTTTAGAGCAAAATGTGATTGCTCAGTCCATAACAAAACACCTGCGTAGGTTACTATGGTCAACTAATTAAAGGGTTAAAGGTCCTTTTAAACTGCTTCGTCCTAATCTGGGTTATTTTTTCCTTCATATTCTGACTAGCCCCGCCCTTCGCCTGATTGCTATTTTCTTTGATTGGTAAAGATATTTGAATGACCTGTTTACTGTCCAATCAGTGCATGTTTGGATGTCGCCCTACTAGCCAATCACAGCGTAGGGGGCGTGACTTGTTGGGGGGGGGGGGGGGGGATCTCAGTCCCTTCTCCCATGGGCGGAGTCTAAAGTAATGTGAGGGACGCGGTAGGCACTCAACTATTGAACTTCCACGCTGAAAACAACCGGATGATGAATAAAACAGTCTGTTTACAAAGTTGAAAATGTGCTTGCACTGAAGATTTGAAACTCAGTATGGATACAGTGCATATTTAAGTAACTACTGCGGTGGACTGCAGACATAGTGCAACAGTAACACTCACTTCGAATGTGGATTATTGTTCAGAGTAGCAGTATCGCCTCGGATTTAACCAGTGCTGATAACTTCAGTCAAGTGTGCGCCGCTGTGATGTGGAGAGGATGGAAACAAAGATCTCAGCCGCTCACAATATAAAAAACGGACATTTATAATAGAAACGTTTTATACAATTGGACAAAAAAAAACTCAGTTGACGTTGAACGGGCTTTTCATTTAGTAAGGAATCATGCGGAATCCTTGCCCATTTACACGTCCTCTTCTAGTTTGCATAGTCTTGGAAATATTTATTCACAGCGTCGGAGGTAAGTATAAGTACAGTGTTTAGTGAAATCACATCTGTCTGATTTCGTTTAGATAAGTAACAATGCAACTAGATTTAATACACCGTAAATTAGCAGATGCGAATACATGAAATACATTTTGTGAAAATGAATACATTCATAAATTGTATATTTGAAAATTCATTTATTTCCCCCCTAATGTCTGTATTACTATTAATTAATAGCATAAATGTATTTAGTCTGTCATTTATGTTTTTATTTGACCACCATGATAATAAGGGGAGGACAGTTTGCCCTAGTTATTTTTCTAAGCAACTTGTGACTTTGTATCGTTTCTCATGTTTCTGTCTTCTTAGTATGAATCACTTGTGTCGTAGTGTTCCTCAGTTGTAAGTGTCTTTAAATAAAAGAGTGTTAAATGCATTTATTCATAATGCCTATTTGACCTGCAATGGATGGTTTATTTTTATTTGATTTATTTTAAGGTCTCAACGTTTGCATGAGCGGCAGCGCCACATCTTGTGAAGAATGTCTCCTCATTCACCCGAACTGCGCCTGGTGCGCGCAAGAGGTACGCGTGCACAATCCTGCGAGAAACTGATTGACAAGTTAATGTTTGAGTTGTGACTGTGTCACAAAACCTACTGAGCTGCCTGCCTAGACGGTATTTGTAGCCATCATAGACTGGCCCCTGATTTATTTATACATTTTTATACACTTGAATAATTCAGTGCTTCTGACTGTTGACAGGTTGCTAAGAGTGCTATTAGTGCTGTATCTCACCGCATTTGTGGGTTTGCTCATTTATTTAATGGTTTCCTCACGTTACTTACCACAGCGATCTTTTTTTCCTGATTCAGGACTTTGGACAGGTTAGAACTCTCAACTCACGATGTGACTTTAGCCAGAACTTACAGAAAAGAGGGTGCGATGCACCTTTTATAGAAAGTCCCAGGAGTGGCAGCTCTCTGTTGCGGAGCAAACCTCTGAGCTCCAAAGGTTCTGGAGTGGCCCAGTATGATGTCATCCAGATATACCCACAGAAGATCTCTCTCAGCTTAAGGCCTGGTATGCATCTGCTGATAGATTTAGAAGAAAGAAGAAAAAAAACTTTGTGCATGTCAGTGTAATTACTCTTACATCCTTCAGGTGACCAGACCTCTTTTGAGGTACAAGTGCGTCCTGTGGAAGACTCCCCTGTTGATTTGTACTACCTGATGGACCTCTCGCTCTCCATGAAGGACGATCTGGACACAATCCGCAACCTGGGCACCAAACTGGCTGAGGAAATGAGGAAGCTTACAAGTAACTTCCGCCTTGGCTTTGGCTCCTTTGTGGACAAGAACATCTCACCCTTCTCCTACACAGCCCCCAAGTACCAGGACAACCCGTGCAATGGGTAAGAAAGAGACTTCTCACAGATCTGTGATGAGCTGTAAACAGGTTTGGGATTGGCTTTCCTTGCATCTAAATTCAAATGCACAAAGGCCCTTACGCCTTTTGCCCTTTAATGCCCTTTGTTATGCAATGAAGAGAACAGCTACTTGTTAGTGAGAACTGTACTTTCTCATTTGGTGAAGTGTACGTGTCTTTAAAATTCAAAAGCACTCGGCATGCCACAGTTCTGGACTTGTTAACCACAGTCTTAATTCACACTTTAAAATAAACCCTTAATTTAATTAAGAGAAACATTTAAGGCATTTTTTCCTGCTTTCACTGGTGGTTATCATTCTGATCGAATGCAAAATAGTGGTAGACTTTTTAGAAAG